TAACTAAAAGCATCTATTGCCAGAGCTCATGGATACAGAACTGGAGACCAGAAGAACTGTAGGCAAGCATTCCAATGGGTCTCAAAGGTGTCGATCCTTGGAGATCCGAACTGAGAACAAATGCAATGAAAGACCTTCTGATGTAACACCCATTCTGGGTCGTTTGGGTCGAAAGAGATGATCTGCTATCAAATTCATAACCCCTGGCACATGAAAGGCCAAAAGATGGATGTTGTGGGAATGAGCCCAATAAAGAAGATCCAAAGTCCAAAAACAAAGATGTTGAGAATGTGTACCTCCCTGACGAGAAAGATATGATACCACTGTAGAGTTGTCCAAATGGATCACAAAATTTTGTCATGCAAGAGAGGAAGACCTTGAATCATCGCTCAATTTACCGCAAGAAGTTTGAGAATGTTGATATGCAGGGTAGATTCATAGTCTGTCTAAATACCCTGGAATTCCTGCCCCTGAAGAAAAGCACCCCATCAGTGAAGAGATGGATTTTTGGTGGAGGAGGTGGTATCTGGACCCCAATAATCACATTGTTCCTGTCTAACCACCACTAGAGATCTGCAAAATTGTTCTTGAGCAAAGACACTATTTGATCCAAAGGATTGATATGCATGAGCCATTGGTTGTGAAGTGACCACTGAATGGCTCTCATATGGGCCCAACCCAATGCCCAAGGGCTTCTAGGGAATCCTAAATCCCCAAAACAGACAGAACCAGTGGACCAGGTATTGAGTGGGTGAGAGAATGGATTTTTCCAACCTGATAATGAAGCCTGCCCTTCTGGCTTCAGAAAGGAGAATCTGGGTATGTAGAGAGAGCTCGGAACTGCACCACCTGGTCTTCGTGCACAAAACGTAGAAATCGACGAGAAGACTCTGCTATGGGGATGCGAAGGTAGGTGTCTGTAACATCAAACTTGGTTATCCATAGACCTGGTGTGAAGTGCCAGCGGAGTTAAAGAAAAGATTCCATGGTGAAACGAGGGGGCTATAGGATGTTATTGATTCGAGACAAATCGATGATAGGACACCAATCTCCAATTTTCTTGGGCACCAGAAATAGAAGAGAATAGAATCCTGGATGAATGGGATTGACCGTCTCGATGGCTCATTTGTTGAAAAACTCCTGAATGGACTGGGAACGAAGGTCTGCACGTCTAAGGTCTGAAGAAGGAGAAAAGACAACTGGATGGGAGGACAAAGGAAGAGGAGAAGTAAACTAAGTCTTGAACCCCAATTCCAGCACTCTGTGAACCCAAGGATCGAGGGTGAACGAATGCCAAATGTGGTGAAAAACATGTAACTGTCCTCCCACAGGTCCCGGTGAATATGGGTAGTCACCAATGCTGTTGGTGGCATCCCAACCTGGCCGAAGATCCCTAAGAATTTGGATGGAACTAATTCTGTGAACCAATACGTTTAGGTGTCAACAGGCAACTGTTAACACAGTACATAGTACCATTGGTCTGCTCAACAGGCTACTGTTAACACAGTATATAGTACCATTGGTCTGCTCAACAGGCTACTGTTAACACAGTATATAATACTATTGGTTTGTTCAACAGGCAACTGTTAACACAGTATATAGTACCATTGGTCTGTTCAACAGGCAACTGTTAACACAGTATATAATACCATTGGTCTGATCAACAGGCTACTGTTAACACAGTATATAGTACCATTGGTCTGTTCAACAGGCAACTGTTAACACAGTATATAATACTATTAGTTTGTTCAACAGGCAACTGTTAATACAGTATATAATACTATTGGTTTGTTCAACAGGCAACTGTTAACACAGTATATAATACTACTGGTCTGTTGAACAGGCTACTGTTAACACAGTATATATAATACCATTGATTTGTTCAACAGGCTACTGTTAACACAGTATATAGTATCGTTGGTCTGTTGAACAGGCTACTGTTAACACAGTATATAATACCATTGGTTTGTTCAACAGGCTACTGTTAACACAGTATATAATACCATTGGTTTGTTCAACATGCTACTGTTAACACAGTATATAGTATCGTTGGTGTGTTGAATATCTCCACTGTGCTATTGTGATATAACCAAAGCTTTTTCTACTGTATCAAGTTATTGAAAGAAAGTGAAATAACCTGATTTATATTTGTAATAATACAGGAAAGTTAAAGATAACCAAATACTTTGTATTTTCATTGCTTACTTGATTTGTACAAGTTTCTGTTCTGTACATTATTACATGACATGTGATCCATGTAAAAAAGGTACATTTGTCACATACTTAAATGTTTGTTGTAATATGCTAAATATGAGGGCTGATTACTCTTTGCATGGGAGTTGGACTTACCTCTTCTACTTGAAGTCGAGTTATGGGGACACCATCTCCCAACTTTTGTTGCTTTGTGCGAAGTGATTCATTGTCTCCCAAAGCTGAAGCTTGGTAACTTCTTGGTTGTTTCTTCAAATCCCTGTCCATATTAATTAAGGAATAATATGGAACTTAATTAACCATCTTAAGAAGATCTCAAAGTTTTAATTAAATTTGTGATTATGCTTACATTTAAAAAAAAATAAAAACCTTAAGCACTTTTCTCTAAAGAACTATTCTGATACTATTAGATAATATTACTCATCTTCATGTTTTCCATAAGTCAAAGATGATGTTTCATCTACCAGCAGCTTCTACATGTAGGCACTAAGAAGTGTAATGGTTTAGAAGAAAACCATTAAATGAAATTAGGCCTTTACAAAGCAAGCACACGTGGTTATATATGCTGTAATTGTTAAAGGCAGTTTTCACAACGTTCATCGAAACATCATCGTTGTAATTTGTGTTTTATGTAGCATGCCTGACCCTGTAAGTAAAAAGTTCTGATAATAACAGAAAAGACTCAGTATGCAGCACACAGGTTTATAATGAATACAACTGATCTAAAGATCACACTTCCCCATCATAATCATTACGTATCAAATGAACTGGGGAGTTAGAAATCTAACCTATATAAGAGACTGTGTGTCACATCACACTCGATTTCTTGAAATAGGAGGAGTCATAAAAGCCAAAATGCATTTATTCAGATAGAATAGTTCGATTAATATCTGTCCATTACACTTTTAGTAATGGGGGTGCAAGGGGGCCATGAGGATGGGGTGGGGGTGCTGTGAAACCTTATAAGTGTAGTGAGTGTTGGTATAATAAGCCTAAAGTAAAGACATACACATGAAATTTATCATGAAAGTAAAAATATCGATTCAGTTTTAAACTTAAGTTTTTTCTGAATTAAGCTGTTTTCTGTTATATTACCAACGTCTTTAATAAAAAACAAACCTCTTTAATCAATCTCAATCAATTAAGAAATCAACAAATATGTTTCCAGGTTTGTTTGTCTATACATTTCATTTTATACTTTCAGTACATAAAACAAGAACAATATTAGGTTATACTTCTGTTACTAAGCAACATGACACAAAAGCCATTGTTGGAACATGGTATTAATCTGATTTTTACCAATAATTATTCTATGAATAAGCCACAAATTCATTTCATGAATGATTTTAATTTTGATTGGCACACAAAGGAATTTACCAACATTTGACTGTCTCGACTTCCCTTTTCTGCCTTTGTTGTTCAAGCTTGATTTCACAAAATTGATTATTTCAGTTAGCTATGAAATGTGTGGTTAGAGTATATTACGGATTGGGAGTGGTTGTACTTGCCCAGTCATTTTTGATGGGCTATATGCTAGTGTCTGTTCTAAATAGCATTTCAACAAAGGGTTTGTATGGTACAAGCCCACCTGACCAGATGATCTCTGAAATTGAATGGAAAGATTCATTGTGTTTGGCACATGATATGTGTAACTTAGATACCATTATTAATTATACTTGTCACAGAAGGCATACGAAGGTGTGTGCATACATAGACTGGAAAACTGCTGTCTAGAAACATAAAAACTGAAAAGAAATGATTCAAGTAACACAAAAAGCTCTGAAGGAAAGGACTACGAGGATAAAAGTAATGAAAGACAAGTAAGTGTATCTAGACAAGAACAAAGTAGGAAACACAGCTATTCAATTTAAAAGACAAAAACAAAAGAATATTAAAACACCAAGAACTAAATAAACAGAAGAAAACAAAAAAAAGAGACAAATCAGTAGATAAAAAAGAAATAAGCCTGTTCACAATCTCATAGGCATAGAATTAAAAACGTCCTACCTGAGAATGTAACCTTCAAGGTTTCATGTACACAACAGCCAAAAAACCCATGAAATAAAAAAAAACAAAAAAAAATAAAAACTCGAACACTCAAGTCAATCAGAAATCCCAAGTAGAATATTGCTAAAGGACAACCTGCAATGTTGGTGCAACAAGAATAAAGAGGAAGAAGTTGAGGGAGAATATAAAACCAATCCTTTCATAGCTCCACTGAGATTGGTACAAATTTAACCTTTGGCCTAGAGTGATGTGCATCTTTCATCTGACGCGATGCTAGGTACTTAAAAGATTCAGGGCTCAGGCCCATAGTTGCAGTAAGTTTCGGCATTTCAGTATAATATTGATCATGGTTTTCTATTCTAAATTCTCAAGACACCAACTGGGGATCTGAGGCACTGTCATGTAGAATTGTGGCAGGTGGCCCCATGTGCCATTAACTAGCAATACCTCTGTCTTTCATAACTTCCAAACAACCTTGAGGTTGGTACAAATTAACCCTTTCAACACAGGTCACGGGTCAAAAGCCATGTCATCTCATTTGTTGACTCACATTCAAAATTTTATTGAACTACTATTCTATCAATTTATATCATTAAGTTTGATATCAAACTGAAAAATATAATTCAGGTTTTAGTATTATACATTATTTAATTTTTTAGTTTAAAAGTAAATATTAAAACACAGTTAAGCATTGATTTTTGTGTCATGTGGCATGTTGAATGCAGCACTGGTTCAAATTAGATGTTTGTGATTTTAAAATACTAAGTCTGTAGTTTCGTACGAAGTAGGAACTCGGATTACTGATATTGACAAGCTAGAATATAAAATAAGAACCTCATATCGTTTCTATTTGCTGAGATATCACTCATATACCAAATCAAAAGCAGTGGCACTGCTCACCTCTTTCCATTTTTTGAAACAGTCCCTTATATATACATACTTCTATATATGACATGTGAATAATCAATCAAAAGCTCATAATGTCCCCCTAGTGGCTTTCTCAGACTTTTCTATATGTAATGGCATTATTTCGTTCTTTCAATACAAGATGGCATAGAGGTAAGTCGGATCTTTAGTCTGCTCAAAATTTCATATTTTTTGAAGACCCAAATACAGCTTAGTTACTAAAATTGATAAGTTATAACGGAGTTCTATGGTATTAATATAGTAATTTATAATTTTTTGGTAATTCAACTGTATATATAAAACCTAACAGAAATTTTTTTGTTTCATTGTTTTGTTTTTATGTGAAATTTCTTAAGGCTTAGCAAGCTACATCAAGCAGCAAACGAATACAAAGGTCGTAACTAGAAGAGATAATTGTTTGCTTTACTTCTTTATTTACTGTTCTATTTAAGAAGTTATTACTAAATATTAATAATCTATATACATATATATATAATGTATGATTGAAATGTGACT